ACTGAATGCATAAAGAACAAACAGATATTCTTCTTTATATGTTAGATCTGGTAGCATGTGAACAAGATGGATACATTCACATATTCGAATCAAAAACAAACAAAATTGAACATATACATTGTACTCCGAAATGTTATTGAGTTCTTGTTAATGTAAGTTTTGAAAAGATTTTCTTGTAGCTGTTCAAATTTAATCTTTCTAATTATTAGGATGATTGTTTGTTTATTGGTACAAATCAAAATGAACTACAGATTCGTTCATTCCCATATGCTGATATTTTTCAAAGTATTGTTCATTTTAATCAACCGGTATCGACTCTTTATATATCTCAAAGTTTACTTTTCATTGGTAGACGGTATAATAATTCATCTTGAGTTTAAATTTCATTCATTATTCGTCTTTGTTTTTATTTTTTTTTAGTGATTCTCACGTTGCCATGATCAATTTGAATGACGATTCAAAATCAAAGAAATACTTTATTGAACATCAAGGTGCTATTCTTGCATTAAATGTGCATGAAGAAAATAACTTGCTTGTCAGAAAATGATTTCTGTTTTATTTCTAAAAATCTTGAATATTTTGAGGCTTTATCATCAATTGATGGTTCAGTCAGAGTATTTTCTATTGATACACAAAGATTAATAAAAATATTACAGATACTCGATATATCAACTGATATTGAGTAAATTGAATAAAATGATTCATTATTTAAAATAAAGAATTAAATTAATTTAGAAGTGCTAAATCATTTGATCAAATTGCTTTTGACGTAATTGAAGACGTAAGCTACATGTATTCTGATTAAAATAAATGTTGATTTTTTACAATTTTAGTTACTGGCTATACCAGTGCAAAATTCAACTTTTTTTTACGATATCACAAACTGGAAAATAGAAAAAGTCTATCAACAATATTCAATGAAACAAGTTCGTTTTTTTTTAATTAAAACTACACTTAAAAATAATGAATAATTTTTCTTTTAGTTCATTAATTTGATTAAATATGCACCAAATAAAAATTATTTTATTATTACATATGATAATCAATTAAATACTGTTCATCGAATAAAACGTTCAATTATATTTCTTCTGTTTATTTCAATCCAATAACATCGTCAACTATTAGTTTAAGTACAGTAACAGTAAGCTTAATTTTTGTAAAATAGTTTTTTTACTAAATGATTGTATTATTATAGGGTCATGTTATTAATTTAAATTTTTTATCGACATTTGATCAACAACAAGAACCTGTATCATTCAGAACTCTTTTTCACATATACGTCGTGCTTATGCTAACGATAAATTTAGCTATTTAATGATATACCTGTTGTTCTACTGGTTAAATAAAAACATTAATTTATTCGATGACAATGTAAAACATCTTTTTTTCTTTATTCACTCTATATATGATTTTCATAGATTTTAAACATCAACTCATATGCTGTGGGAAAAGATCGTTGTGAATTTACATTCACAAAAAAAAACAATTTCCATCTTGATTTTCAAATTTTTCTTGGAAGAAATGAATTAATAATGTACGCTGAAGTAAGTATTAATTATTTTAATAATGAATAATCTTATTCATTTCTTCTATTTCTAGAATTCTGAAATAGATTTCAGTGCTAAAACCGTTCTTGGCATCGATAAAGAAATAGATAGATGATCAAATGAGGTAAAAAGATTCTCTTTTTTGATAAGAACATTTATTCTCTATTATTTTATTGTAGCTTCAAAAACCTCTCAAACTTAAAAACACAACATGTTATTAAATGCATTGATGATAAGCTAGGTGGCAATTATAATACACAAATGATTTGTCTTGATGAAGATATTATTGCTGCTTCACATACAACAACTGATGTCGACGATAATGAGCCTCATCCATTAGAAACACCGAATACTATTCCAAATGAATAAAAAAAACCTTTTTCCTTTTTTTTTGTTTTCATCGTTTCTCTTTCTTGTTATTATCCTCATTTTTTTCTGATTATCAACATTATTTTAGAAAATATATTTATTCAATGTCAATCAGTTATATTCATCATCAAATACGGTAGGTTCTATTTCAAATATACAATTCTCTTCAAAAAATTATTTTTTAGGACAATCTTGTTGTTATTATACATGGATTTGCATCAGCTCGAGCTGTTGCATCGAATTTACTTGTTTTTTAATTAGTCTATGTTTAATTCGACTGGAATCGATCGATGTTCAATACATTTTAAATTTACTCATAAAGAATTCCTAATGATTTTCTATAAAATAAAATAAAATAATGATTAAATTTAGCTCGAAAATCATCATATGTCAAACTGAAAGATACTTAGAACGATGAAATATAGCATCAAAAGTATATACTAATATTCTTTTATCAATACATGCGGTTATGATACTCCACAACCAGTTAATATGTGTACAGATTGTTATAAAAATTCTTCGAAAGAAATTCAAAAATATTGTCGTAATATTCTTTGTCCTGTATCAGAAATTGATTTACATTGTCAAAATAAATAAGAAATTTTTGTATTTTGTTATGTATTTCAAAAAAAAAAGAATTAATTCATGTTGTTTATCAAATAGTAATCATCCAATAAGTTGACGTTGATGTAGTCTATGTCATGAAAGACGACATATTGATTCAAATCATATTTATCAAGAAACATTAATTGATATGTGGTCTTTATCATCTGATGTACAAAATCATTGTGTTGAAACTATAATCAGTCTTTACGTTAAACAGATAATACTAAAGAAAAACATATTGTGGATTCAATAAGTAATGAAAAAAGAATTTATTTAAGTTGCAAATATTGATAATACATTAAATATGTTTTAAGTGTTGGATATTAATATTGGAAGAAAACTATTAAGTCGATATGGAATTTATTTAACTTTGGTTCTTATTGAACCAACCTCACATGAACCACCGGTATGAAAAATATTTTATTTTTATGGAAAAAAAAATTTTTCGGATTTAATTCAGAAAACATTTGAATGTCTTTTAAGTATGTTATTTCTTTAGTTTCAGTTGACTGTTCGTTTACTAAGCTATGAAATTGGAAATGTTTTAGATAAATAAAAATTTGAAATAAAAAAAACAAAGAATCTGTTGTATTTATTTCTTCTACTATACAGTTGAATATGCAAAAGTTGGTAGTGTTTGGTAAGAGAAATCTTATTAAAAAGAAGTTTATTAAATATATTATTTTCAGGAAACAATGGCTAATCGTACAACACAAGTTATTGAATGTCTTAATAAATTATATGATTTAATGCCTGATGAAATAATTGCATATGAAGTAAGTTTTATATTTTTACAAAAACTAAATGTATTATTCTTGTCTGCGATAGATTTGGGACAATATAATGTCTTATTCGATGGAATCAATTCGATTAGAAGTACTAGAAAATGGTTAACTTTAATGAAATTTACTCTTTCGATAATTAATTTATTTTTCTTTTAAATTTTAAAATATTTGTTTTAAATAGAAAATATTTGATCCCGATCTGGATGTCTCTATCATAATTAACTCGTTATCAATTATATCATTTAATAACCGGTCGTTTTCAATCTTCTGTACCTGAAAATATACAAGAACAAGCTTTACAATGGTTACAAATCTTATATATATTTCAGTTCCTTTACTTGTCCAAATATTTAACGAGTGACCCATAATGAATGGCCACACTTTGCATTGCATATTTTAATTTCTAAATACGTCTTATTAAAAAAGAAAACAGAATATATCACAAGATGCAGCGTGAAAAGCTCTATAATCTACAAAGTAAAGTTTATTTCGATTGTGTACTTTTTGTTTTCAAAAAAAAGAAAACTCCTGTGAGATCAATTTTCGCCGTTGCGCAAATTGTTCGCACTATTTTGAAAATAAAAAAGTACACAATTAAAATAAACTGTTCTTTGTAAATTGTAGAGTGTTTCACGCTGCATCTTGTTGTATATTTTGTTTTTTTTTTAATAAGACATATTTAGAAATTAAAATATGCAATGGAAAATGCGGTCATTCATTATGGGTCATCCGTTATAACTGGTATAAATTCTTTACAAAAACTTGAATCACATATTCAATGTCATGAACGTCATACAATGACTGATTCATCATCAAATGAACAATCAATTGATTTTGGTTTTAATTTAATGATGTTATCACAAGATGATGGAAATGTTCAAAATCCTTCCAGTAGTATTGCTGATTTAACAACAGCGTTATCATCAACATTAGCAAATAAATTTCTTGTTTTTGATACATATAAAACACGTCATCATCAATTAATGTTATAACAAATAACTCGACAAGAAATAGTTTCAATTATAAAAGACAATGAAGAAGAATTTATTATTAATAAAAGTAAAACGCGAATTAAACATGTGGTATTATGATGATTGATATGACTCTTAAACAAGTAATGTTTTTATTTTTTATTTTTCATTTAATTTATTATTTTTGTTTTCGATTAGATGGAACTTCAACAAACATCACAACATCAAGAAATGTATAATTCATTATCAAAACAAATCTTATCTTTAATGAATAAACAATTAATGTTACCATGGACACGTCATCATCGTTGTCCTACATCATCAAGTTAATGCTCATTTTGTGAAGAATATATTTAATGATTTTCAATAGCACAATATGTACTTAAATGTAATTCATCACGCGATAAAATTAAATTATCTGAACTTAAGTAAAAACAACAAACATTTATTTCATTAGCTACATCATCAAGCAAAGTAAAATGTAGTAAAAAGTCTACTTTTTTTTCCTTCTTATCACTAGAGCCCATCGGGTCAAACCTAGGCTCTATCTATCACATAGGATCTTTATCTTTCTCTCTCAATTGTTTATAGATGAGAAATAAAAAATTTTCTTTCTAGCTATTAGAATGTTATCAGGTGGTGATAATCTAAGTTTATTATCATCTATATCATTAAATAATGAAGAAAAAGTTCCGATTAATGTTAATGCGACAGCTCCGATTGTAGCAACAATAAGACTTGAACTTAAAATTGAAAATAATTCTAATAGTGAAATATCGATAATATCACAGGATGTTTTCTATTCTTAAATTTAATACACTTAATATTTATCATTTACAATTTTTTCGATTCTGCTCTTAAAGTGAAAAAATAAAATTTTCAAATTAATATTTAATAAAAAAATGTTTGTTAGGAATTATATTAAGTTATTGATATTGTTGCACTTCAGTATTTATTATGTTTTTTTTTGTAAATAATTAATTTTAAATGATCAATATTTGGAAACAACATCGAAAGATAATCAAAGTTTTCTTTCGTATTCTCTTGAAAAATGACTCGTTTCACAGTAAATTAATTAATTTATTTGTTTTTTTTATTAAAAAAGAAAATTTTTTCAATTTAGTATTTGAAAAATTCTTGGATTAGAACATATTCATTTAAATCAATGTTGTGTATCATTAGTTCTTTATGCGTTTAATTATGAAGCTGAAAAAGCTGTCTTATGAAATATACTTGAATGAGATTTTTCAAGTACACATTTAAAAGTTCGTTCATCAGCTGGTAAATTTGAAAAATTAAATTTTTTAAGAATAAAGATAATTAAATAAATATTTTTCTTTTTTGTTTTAGGTACACATATCATTGCAAATAGTATACTTCTTAAAACAAATTTAATTGAAAATAATTTCTAATGTTCTTTTTGTACTTGTTTATACTTTTCTTTATTTAATAACATTAATCAAAGATGTCGAACTAACTGTTAGTTAAAAAGATGTGTCTTCATTAGAAAAATTAAATAATACATCATTTAAAAGTATTATATGTGTAATTTTATTTCAAATTAAGACTCCAATAAATGATCATTCAATAATCTTGCACCATTTATCAAAACTTTGTACAATATTATTATGTAATTATTCAATCAGAAAAATATTTATTTGACTATTTGTTTTCTTAATTATTTTTTGATAGATTATCAATTGAATCTAAAATAATTATCGAAGAATTAGTTGAATCCATAAGTTCACAATGTATTAATGGTTTTAATAGTGAAAATGAAAATTTTATTCAAAAATTAAATCAAATAAGTTTATCTATTACAAGAACAGATTCAACTAGATCAATATCATCATCATTACATCTTTCTTAACATCAACGACGAATGACAACAACAGTTAATCTTCAACAATTAAATATTGTTAAGAAAAAAATTGAAACTAATTCTATTAAAAGTAGTATTTAATCTGATACTATTTATACTTATGAAAGGATATATTTTAAATAAAGAAAAAATAAATTCGTTTTTTGTTTTGTTTAGTTTATGATGAAAGATAATCAAAATCAAGTTAATGAAGATCGAATTATCCTAAAACAACAAGTGAAAAAAAAAATTTTTTTTCTTTAAAGAATGTTGCTATTCGGCATCTTTATTCCTTACTTAGTTATAATCAAACAAATCGAATATTTATTTATTTACCAACCAAAATTCGGTTTTTTTTTAATTTATTTGAATAAAAAAAGTGTATCTTTTATTGTTTCTTTTTAGACAAACTCTAGTTTTTCATGTATTTCTATCGAATGTTTCCAAAAGTTGTTGATTATAATTTAGTCTTGAAACTGTTTGTTATTTTTCCATATTTTTCTTTAATTTCTTCAATATTCAACATATTAAAATATATCGATGCTATTTTATAAATATGTTTCTACATCAAATACTCTTGGACGTATTTATTCTAGTTAATGTGATTCATGTTTAATGACTCTTATTATTATTCTATATAAAATAATATATTAATTTTTCTTATAAAAATGAAATATTTTTATTTTGAAAAAAAATATTTTGTATCAATATACAACATTTCGTAGAACAATCCAATATTTAACTCGTATTGCAATGAATAAAATTCTTAGTAATTATCATAAATGTTGAACACCACTATTTAGTGTAACTGTTCGTGATCTTAGTGGAAGAATTAGACAGAAAGTAGCTGAATCAATAATAGGTTAGATATTAATTTTATAAATTTATTGAAAAATAAATTTTATCTAAGAATGATCACGATCGTTTTGTGATATATGTTAAATAGAATAGTAAATGAATTAGAAGGTCAATATGATTTGGAAACGTGATACAAAATCTAAATCAGCGACTATTGTTCCACATAAACGTTTTAGATAATTATCACTAACTAAAAAAAAAAAATTTATTAAACTATTTTTATTTTTAATTTATTTAAAATAGATAATATAAATAATATTTTGATTAACCATTAACAATTCAACAAATAAAAGAAAATTTTGTTTCATTTGGTTTATTTTATACTGGATTCTAAAAAGTCTTTTTACTAGTAGCAGAACATTCGGTAGAACTATTGTTAATCTTAATCTATCAACTGTAATGACATCATCATTATCATCAACAGTTTCAATAGATAAATTAATTGAACTTGCTGTTAAAAGTATAAAAGTTAATTAATTAATTTTATTAAATTAGAAATAAAAATAAATATTTTATAGGAATGAAAGAACTTTCATCTGTTGTTTATTCAAGTGAATGGCACGCAACTTGAAACTGTTTTTAATTAAACCTGGTGATAGGAGAATCAAATGTTTATTTAAAATCAAATAATAATTAATAAATTCTATTTTTTTTTTATTTCAGAACAAAGTTCATTAAAAACTCCTAAATTAACATCATTACTATCATCAATATTAGCTTGTATGACTGGTACAACAACTAGTAAAAAAATTAAAACCAAGTTATTATAATAAAAAAAACTAAATATAAACATGATTCAAATGTTCGATCACTAACATTAAGATTAATATAATTGTTTTTTTTAAATATTTATTCAATCGCCCAATACGTACATCATCATCATAAAGTCATTTTAAAAATATTGGTGTTACATCATCAACTACTAAACGAACCACAACAACAAATAATGAATTAGACAATAGATATGCTGATACAAATTTACATAATCAATATATATCTATACCGATATGCGATAAATGTGAACAATCTATTGACTATTGTACATATTATTGTATGTAGTATCATTGTTCATTGTCAACCAGTTATCCCAGCACCATTACTTATGAATATTATTGAAACAATTGAAAGATTTGTTGAATATCATATATATATATACATGGCAAGAAAATTCAACGGTTATTGCCCGAGCTAATTCGCGAAGTATGGCACAAAAATTTGTTTATTGTATATTTCAATAGTTAGCTGTAAATTATGTATCTTATCAATTTGTTTAAGAAAATTTTCTAGATTTATTTTCTATAGAAATAAAATATTAAATGAAGAAACATTTTATTTTAAGATGATTAATTACTACATAGAATTGCTTTATCATTAAACGATTTTCCGGAGTTTAAATCAATAACTGCACTTAAATGGCTTCTTAATGTAATTTGTTTTTGTTTTCGAAATAATTGATCGATTTTCAATATTATTAACATTTATTTTACAAAATGGAACGTTTTAATTCGAACATATTCTTGAATTATGTTCATTAAGTAATCGAATAGTTACGCGAGCAAAAAAAGATAATTTTTTTTTCAGAATTTTAAAGTTTACATTAATAAGATCGAGAAAAAGTTTTATTACCAGTATGCATTGTTAATATTATTGTTGAAGCTCTGCTTCATCAGTATCTTTTAATGGTTTAAATAAATATCTACTTGTTTTTTTTTGTTTAAATCAATATTGATATCTATTTAGTTAATTTTACTTGATGTTGGTGGTACAATTTAGGCATCGGCAATTGTTAGAGATGATTTTCTTGCACATATATCCCCATAATCGTGTGCGTTTCTGATCCCAGTGCTGTGATGTTTTTTTACTTATTTGTAAAAAAAAATAGAATTTTTGTACAAAACAGTTGCATTTTGTTGCTGATATTCATACAATAACAAAAATAAAAATTAGAAAGAACTAAAACAAAAAACTTTGATTTTTATTTAAATAGAGTACAATGAAAGAAAAAAGTGAAAAACAACAATTATCTAATATAACAGAAGATACATTAGGTGGACAATTGAAATTTGGTCTTGCAAAAAAAATCTTGCTTTAGAATTTACTAAAGGTAGACACACAGATTCAAAATCAATTGTTCGTTTTCTTCGATGGCTTTATAATCCATCGATTTCTGTTCAAAAATAGTTTGTATTTATTTTTTTATTCTTCAATTTTTTAAATAATATTTTGTTGTTTTGTTTTTAGAATAAAACATTTTGTTGATTGTATTGATCAAACAAGATTTCTTTCATGGTTAATGATCGGTTCGTTAAAACGTGCAGTTATAACACGCAATAAAGGTAGAATAATATGTCATCGAATATTTGTTGTTGCAAGTCAATTAATAACTGATTATATTTTATATATTTTAACTAGTTTTGTTGATCAATCAAAAACATCAGTTATTCATTTGTCTTTATTATTTCATTCATTTATTCTTTGTCAAGTATGAATATTAAATTAATTTGATTTTTCGAATGTTTTTTTTTGGTTTTTGTATAATAAAGTTATGGACAATGTATTGTGAACAAGTTAATTATGGATATGATCGTGAATCATTTGTTGAAATTATGAACTTTTGGACGAGGATTAGATCGGGTATACTTCATTTATTATCATATTCAAAAGTGATATGTATAGATTTATTCTGTATTTTGTTAATAAAAAAAATCATTTACTAACGAAAAAAATAAATTATAAATTTCAGGACAAAGAAACTTCTAACAAACGTTTTGAGGT